GAGAGTCGTAATGTCAAATTGTAATTGCAGAAAAAATCTAATTCATTAAAATTAACAAAGAGAGGTTTATATAGCCTTAAAAGAGAGTCGTAATGTCAAAGTTCAATTGCAATTGCAGAAAAAACTCAATTCATTAAAATTAACAAAGAGGGGTTTATATGGCTCTACAAACATAGTAATAAAAGACTAATTTCCCTTACTAATAAAGAAAAATAACTAAATAACCAATCATAACCTTAAAATAAAGATGACTATCGTTAACAAAAATATGTGTATATATATATATATATATATTATTAATGTTATTAAACATTGTTTTTGCACCATATCATGGCCATTCAAGCTAGCTAGCTAGCTGCCCCATATCCATCCTACTTACTCTTAATAATAGGAGAATTCAGTTATACTAGACGATTTTATAATTGCATAATTGTATTTTACTTTAACTTATCCACTTAATTTTGTTTTTGTTATTTCATTATAGTTAATTGTTTAATATGTCGTTTGGTGAGTATTTTGTTATCATTTTGTGAGCGTGAACTATAAATACCATGTTAGCTATTGTATTAGATTGACTTGAACGTTGAGATATTAAATATCAAATTTGGTTTCACTCTAATTTTGAGGGTATTTCCCTAAGTTATGGATTTGTCTTGATTTTCCCATTCTCATGCATCACTTAACCTCTCGTATCCAACAATGCGATTAAACTTGAAGTTATTGCTTCATTAATATTGCAGTCGGGTATAGATATATTAGTGCTACATACTATGTCCATAATCTGATATTTTCCTAGTACCATATCTAAATTCTTTAGGCAATATTGAGAGAGCAAGGAATTTAGAATTAACATTTTGGAATACGGTGTCGCAAGCACCAAGCAGTACCAATTGTTAAGAATGTACATTTCTACATACAAGGAGATTTAGAGAGAATAAAAACTAAAAAGTTATCATTTAACAGTATTTAATGATGACAAGTCGTCGTTAAAAACTTATTCTTAAATATATTTAAGAATAATGTGATTTATTGTTACTAAATCTTAGTAGCTTTTAGCGACGATTTATATCGTTGTTAAAAGTTCAATAAATGACATTGCATGGTTGTCGTTTAATAAAAATATGATGCCACACAATGGCATTTAGCAATGATAATTTTAAGTAAAAATTATGGGATTGACTCTTAAAACATTGCCTAATCAATATTGCCCCCTTTTTTTTTTCAAAAGTGCCCCTTTATTTTACTTAATGATCTGTTAATTTACTACTTTGCCCAAAAACTAAATATATCTTTTTACCTAACCTAAAAAAATAAAAAAAAAGTATCTTTTTTGCTTGATGTAGGGCTTTTCTATATGTTTATTCTCTCTCTCTCTTCTCATTGATCCCTCTCTATCCTCTTCGCCTCCCATTGTTGTAGTTCTCAAGCGATTTTTGTTGTCATCGTCCCTATCACGATCAGATCTCGCCAAGCCAATCTACCAAGTATTACGTCGATCAAGCGAGTTGTATGACAAAGACAAAGATCGCGAGCTCACAAAAGATATCAAGTGGACGCGATTGAGATCGTTATGGTTACGAGAGGTTGATGGATTTGGCCGAGTCCATTGCGCAACAGGCTGTGACAATGAAGATCTCTAATAGTGGAGGATATGTCGCCGTCGGCGACAAATGGATCTAATTCGTCATAGATCTAATTTCACCCTTCGGATTTGATTTTGTTTTTATTTTCCCGAAATTTGAACTTAATTTGATAATTTGGTTTTTGTTGTTGATATCATAAAATAATGTAGCTAGCAGGTTATTAAAAATAATATGCCAGATTTCTCTCCGAGATTGAAGTTATTTTTTAATTGAAAATAAAAAATAATTTACTAGTTTTCTATTCGGCAATCGGAGATGGTTGATAACTTTTTATTGAAAACAAAAAATAAACTACTAGATTCCTCTTTAATGATCTACAAAATTATTCTACGGCGGCTGGTGGCCATAGATGGTTGGTAAAAATAACCTATTAGGATCCTCTATGCAGTTGATTTTAGCGACCAGAGACGGTTGATAGTTTTTTGTTCAAAATAATAAAAAATAATCTACTAGAACTCTATGGCATCTACCGGATTCTTCTTTGGCGGTCGGCGTTAGAGATTGGAGATAGTTTTTAATTTTTGTTGAAAACAAAAAATAATCTATGGGATTCCTTTACAACGACAAACCACCAACTCGACCCGATTAGACTTTCGAGCATATGTCTTTGACTCAGTCCGATGTGAGTCTTTATGCGGGCGAGAGTTGAGTCAATTAGTTAGGTTTTAGGCTAGCCCATTTGACCCAACCCAAATTGATAGCTTTAATAATAAACACATAAATTCTAATAATAATCAAACTCGTACTATTATTTAAGCTCGAATAAATTCTAAATAATCATATAAATAAATATAAAAAATAACTTAAGAATGAGAGAATTTTACACATTTGCTCCTGAACTTGTAAGGGTTTAGAAACTTCCAACTAAATTTCTTGTTTTGGCAGCTTGGCCATCCAACTTGCAAAACAATTACAAGTTGGCCCATCTTATCAAATTTGCTTTGAGTTTTATTAGATTTAAGGGATTAAAAGTTGAAGAATAGAGAGATTTGTGTTCTAATTTGAATTGGGATATTGAAAATTTTCATCAAACGGGTTTTTCATCACCAATTCAATATAATTATCATCAAAATAAGGCATATACAACTGTTTTGCAAGTTGGAAGAGCAAATTGTTAAAATCAAAACTTTAATGGAAAAATTATCAAACCACTACTAGTTCGGCAAATGTGCAAATAACCGTTAAAAATAACTTAAATCCTAACCTAACTCTACATCTAATGATAATGCTAAATCTTACATTTAAATTTTTAATATATTTGTCGTTGTTCCGATCTAAACCCTATAATTGAAGAGCAAACTCGCTTTAGCAACTAGCTCCTTTAAAGAAGGAAAAGATTAAAAAAATTACAGTTAGTAATTGTATAATTTTTAGCTAATCATAAAGGAAAAGATTTAAAAAGGTTACAGTTAGTAATTATATAATTTTTTAGCTAATCATAAGTTCATAACCACATTGGTTTTCTCTATTAGGAAACCAAAAAAACAAAAGTAAAATTACATTTTTATACCTTGTATTTTAAATTTATTTAAAAAACGTACATTTAATTTTTAATCTCATCAAATTATATTTAATAGACAGACAAATTTATATATTTTTGTGGTCAACATTCAATTTAACTTTTAAAATACCAAAAATGCCCTTTAAAAAAGAAAGGATGCTAAAAAAATTCTAAATAAGAAAAAACAAACAATGAATAAATAAATTAAAAAAAAAAAAAAAAAAAACTTACCTAAAACCACCCAAACCCACCATTGCTGCCGCCCCCCAACCTCAGCCCATCCTCGTCCTCAGCTTCCCACACTTGGCATACATATCAACCATGAAACTCCCCCCAAACACATCATAAGCAAAATTAGTCTTAACCACAACTCAGTCGAGCACGTGGGGGAAGTGAAGAGGGAGCTGGGTTTTGGAGATTTGAGAAATTGGGCGTAGTGCGACGAAGAGAGCACGAGGAAAAGGCGGCCACACAAGGGAGATCTGTGCTGATGACAAACCTATTTCTTGTAGTGTATTAAAATTGATTCTTTGAACATTGAACCCCTAAAAAATAATTGATTTTTGTACTCTTTTTTTGGTTATCTGTTCTTGAGAAATAATTTATTTTATTTTGCTTTTATTACTTTGTTTGTTTAGCGGTTGTTATAGGGTAAAATGTCAAATTTTAAATTAAACATTATGTGAAGTTCACATGTCATAAATAAGAAACAATTAAGGATAGTTTAGCTCTAACTGCCACGTCAACAGGTAACTCTATTAGGAGCGGACTGTTAGAAAATGGTGTCAGACATACGAAGGAAGTCGACTATTTTGAGAAGACAAAGGACAAGGTTGACCGTACTTGTAATCATAGGCGAAGATGGTTCTTGGAGCGTTTACGAAGTTGAGATTACAAAAGACGGGAGATTCGCGAGATTAGCTCCGGAATTTGCTATTTGTAATTCGAATATATAAAATTTTAATAAGAGAATCGTCCTAATTGATCGTAACTTCTATCTTTTGGAAAATAATTCCAAAAAATACTGAATTTAATAGGAAAACAAATAGGGGAGGTGATCACGGATATAAATAAGGGATTGTCAAAAAAAAAAAAAAGGATTCCCGGGGTCTCATTTGGGGCATTTTGAGCGTGTATTTTCCTCAGAAATAGAAAATTTCCTCTCCTTCCCATAATGGACGTGGCACTTAAACCGTGGGTGAACCACTATAATTCTCGTGTGTTATTACTATTTTATTACTTTTAATTGTGTTTTAGATTATTAAAAGCACTTAAACCGTGTGTTATTACTATTTTATTACTTTTAATTGTGTTTTAGATTATTAAATTCGCTCAAACGTTTAAAAATTCATTATTATTCTGTTGACGAATTTTTAATCTTAACAGCAGTTCCACTAAGTTTTAGATTTGAAAAGTGCAGTTGATGTTCACTGATTTCATAATTGTATTGTTGGGTTTGGGGAATTGATGATGAAGAAGAAGAAGAAGAAAGAATGGGGATAGGGAGAGACACCAAATCATTGGGTTTTTTTTTTAAAATATGCTTTCATTTATTTGTTTGTTTTTGCACAGTTCAACAAATCTGCAGTTGTTTATGCTGTTGGTTGTTTTTTTTTTTTTCATTTAGAAATTCTTTGGGATTTTCTTTTTTGAAAAGGGTATTTTATAGGTCCAAATCTAGCATTGACTAAGAAAATATATAAATTTATCTATTAAGTGTAATCTCATGGTACACATTTGATGAGTTAAAAAATTATGGGCATACTTTTTAAATAACTCTAAAATATAAGGTACAAAATAATAAATAACCCAAAAAAAAAAAAAAACCTATACAGTTTTGACTGTTTGTACTTTTGTTTTTGAAGAAACGACGCCTCTTGGGTAGGAAGTACAATTCGGAGCTAGTTTTGTTGCAAAAGTAAGCAAAACGAAGGCAAGCCTGGGTTTTGTATGAGGTACGGATTCTTTCCTTTTCTTATTCATCTTTCTTTGTTTTCCACTGTTTGGTTGCCAAGAAAATCCATGGAATAGCAAGTAAAGTATAGCTGTGCCCATTCCTTCATTGGCCTTAATATGGCTCAATTCGGTACTTGGCATTGTTCTTAGGAGATTTATTCAAATTGGGAATTCGTGAAAACCTAAAAATTTAAAGCTTTACATCTTTACCTGTTTCTCTTTTGAACCCTAGGGAGTTCAATTCGTTTTCTAATGTAATTAAGAACTATACGAATCAATCAATTAAACAAAAATTCGTTGTGAAATATCAAGAAAAACAATGTTTTGTTTTCACCTTGAGGCACTATATTTAGTTTATTAATTGTTTTTGCAAATAGTATTGTTTGAAATATGTAATGAGAGAATTGATTAGTCAAAACTCTAATAGCAGTTTTCCGGTGAATCCTAGAATATTTATTAGATTGTGATGGATGCAAAGGCTTTGGCAAAATCCAAGAGAGCACACTCTCTGCAGCACAGTAGAAGACACCATCCGAATCAAAAGCCGAAAGCCCCATCTGGTGTCGCTGCTGCAAGCGAAACTGGAGGTGCAAAGAAACCATCTGGCAAACAAGATAAAGAGAAACCCCTGCAGCCTCGGGGTAAATCGGCATTGCCTTCCAATTGGGATCGGTATGAGCAGGAAACCGATTCGGGTTCAGAAGAGCCGTCTGGTAGTGGTGCAATTCAAAAGCAAAACCCGGATGTTGTTTTGCCGAAGAGTAAAGGTGCAGACTACCGTCACCTAATTGCCGAGGCGCAGTCTCAATCTCATGCTTATTTGGATTCCTTTCCTTCTGTGGATGATGTTCTGGCTGGTATGTTGTTTTCCTATTTGTGACATTTGAATTCTTTAATTCATTTATCTTAATGGTGGGTAAAATAAAATTGTGGAATTGTACTAATCACTAGCTTTATATTGAATCATTAGCTGCTTTTAATAAGTTTCTGCCCATTCAATTTGGTCTGTTTTCTTATCCTGGACATACTAATTTCTGCAGTCACTTTGTACCCAACTAGTGGAAGTATCCGCCATTTCTTTTATCTGTTTAGCATCATAGCTATTGAACTTCGTAGAGAAAACGTACTTGAAAATTGAAAGTCATTAGGATGATCTGGGGTGATGGGACCAGATAAATTAAGAGGGTTCTTTCATTGTTATTTTAAGCTTAAAAGATATGGAATGATTGGGTTTTACAAAGATTTATTGTTAGAAGAGCAATAAGGATGTCGCTTGGTATGAACGTATTGAATATTGCAAGGATTTAGCATATTCTCTGGAAATGGCTAGCATTCTCAGCACCCATAATATTTTAGCCATTATATTACTTAGATGGTTTCTTTTCATTACAGTTACTATTTTTAGTTTCAGAAAGAAGAAGAAAAGTTCCATTTTTGAATTTCCGCTGTTATTGTTTTGGCTGTTGCTGTGTTAAGAGACTTATTTTTATTTTTCGAATCGAAATGCTATATGTGAATTTTTCAAGCATGATTTGACAGGGGAGTTCAGCCTAGCAGTTGGTTCAATGCTTTCAGTCAGGGGAGAGGGCATCCTGGCATGGTCCGCAGATGATAACTTTATTGTGAATGATAAATCAACTACGCATCCTGAGGTAATAGATATCTTGTGTGTAATTGTGTTTTACTCCTTGAGTTTATGGCATTTCCTGAATGATGCCTGTGTAAAACCTCTATTAACTTGGACGTGAAATGTATCATATATGTTGTCTTGAAGCGGTACACTCCAATCTTATTCTTACGCCAAAGAATTTGATATTCCTGACACAATCTTATTTTCATGCTTTGAGACTTTAATACAAGTATGGTTTTCTCTTTCAGGCAGCATTTCTATCTTTGAATTTGCACGCGCTTGCAGAACAACTTGAAAAAATTGACTTGGCACATAGACTTTTCATTGAAGCAGATCTCTTACCACCAGAGCTGGTATGTTTCATATTTTTGATACGTGAGGTTATCTTGCAGATCTCCACAACGTTATAACGTGATTTGCGTTTTTGAACAAATAGGCAAACGACGTTGGAAAACGCCTTTTATTTTCTGTTCTTGAGAAACCAATCTTTTCTTGTTTCTATATTTCCATTTGTGCTAATATATGTTAAGAAAACAAACCGATGCAATATTTTCAGACTTCAGGTCTTTACATTATAGTTCGCACTAGAGTTGTGTGCTAGTGCCGTGCTTAATGGGTTCTTTAACAGCATGTAGAGGTATCCGAGACAAGCAGAACTCAGAAATGTAACCAAATGCCGGCAACAAATGATGTTGAAGCTGTGAGCAAACTACCCGAAGAATTAACCTTCAATGAGGTTTCATTATCTGCCTCTCCCAGTGGCGGTCATCCAGACCCTTCCCTGTCCATCCGAGGGTCTAGTTCAGTGAGTCAGGGCGTTTCCAATGTAAACAGGGTTTCTCAATACGATCATAAGAGCAATGCGCCACATTTTGCGGTGGCACAATCCTCTGTTGATACCTTTGCAGACCCAGGAAAGAAACGTCCTGAGTTTGAGGCTGTAGCTGCAGAGGCAGAACTGGACATGCTTCTTGACTCTTTTAGCGAGATAAAGATCCCGGATTCCTCTGGCTTAAGTTCTGCCGACACTCTTCCTGTTCATGAAGAAGCATCCGCGGCTGTGTTTCAACCTCCAAGAAAGGATCCGAATTCATCGGTATTAACGAATGCCAACCTGGATGATGATCTTGATGACTTACTTAAGGAAACATCTAGTTTGACGAGCCAAAACAGTTCATTTCAGCCCCAGAGAGGAAGTGCTGACCATTTTGTTGAATCTTCTTCCCCTAAATCTGGAACAGAGTCCAAAACATTAGATGACTTTTTTGATTCTTGGTTAGATACACTCTGATTTACGCTAAGCTTCCTCATGTAATTAAATTAATTGTGCTAATTGCATTTCAGGGATTGATTCATCCTTTTCCTTTTCATTTAAATCCTCGAAACTTGTGTGGCTAAGTTTGTAAGTTAAAAGATTTTTGGCCGAAGATCGTGTTTTATTTGCAGCTATTCTAGCGGCTTCAATCACTAATAACTGAGATGAGTATCAGAGCAGGGAAAAAAAAAAAAAATCTGAGATGAGTATAGGTCTTAGTAAAAAGTAGAGAGAAAAAACTGTATTTGTGACATAATGGGGTTATTTGGTTAGGGGATTCGTACTCCGATTCGAATCATGGTTCATAGTTCGTTACAGTGTTTTTTCTCATAAAAAATACACGTAAATCAAAAATAATTATAATCTTATGATTTTAATCTATGAACCAAACGTCTCCTGAATATCAAAGGGGTGGGCAGCAAGCCCGTCACTGTGTTGATCTCCTCACTACCGATTTGTATTTGAATTTTTTTTTTCAATTTTTTTAAAGTTTTAGTTTTTTATTTTTAAAATAATACTAAAAACCCTGCTTAACAAGGGCATTCTGCATTTTCAATCATTTGACTAGTCAAAGGGTTGTTTTTTTTTTAATTCTTGAAAAATGGGTTAGTACTTTTAAGATTTTTAAAAATTTAAAGACAAACAAAATATTTAGCGGGAAATTCAAAGATCCTTTTTGAATTTTTCCTTCTTAGTACAGTAGCAATGAGTTTCCGTTTATTGGTGATAGAGGTAGAAGTTTCAGCCACTTAGCTCTACTCAAATTCGCCAGCTTGAAGTTAATATTTAACCTAATTTAACCTTAAAAAGAGGAAGGTCGGCCTAATTTAACCTTAAAACTCTACAAGCTAGGGCTAGAGCTGGGTCGGGACTAGGCCGGTATGGACTTTTACCAAGGTCAAAGAAAATGTAATATATATATTAAAAGCACTTTGGTTGACCCGAAAATAGTTTTGGGCTTAGAATATCGACCTAGCCCGGCCCGAAGCTTTGAGTCGGGACCAAGCCAAAGTGATGTGCTCCGGACCTACATGTTTAGCGATGCCTAAACTTACAGCTCTAACTGGTGATATTAAATGTGTTTTGAGTTTTTCTTTTCACCAGTAAAGCCGGGTGTAAAGTTTATTGTTAAGTTATTTCTTCAACCATCTTTAAACATTTTTGTATCTAAAAAAGGATGCAGAAAAATTCAAATTCACTTTTTTTATTATTGTGTTCCTTCTCATATAAAATTCACATTACAACTCAAATTCTCAACTCAAATTGTGAAAAGAACACTTTCATAATGAGTTGCCAAGAATAGAAAAGGTAAATGAGATTAGCTGGAAACAATTATGCACTTTAGAAATCACAGAAACAATGGTCTTTGTACGAGCAAATGAATATGGGTTGAAGGCCTTCAGCTTCAAGGTTTATATTTCACACAATCTAATTCCATTTGTTTGCATACCAAATAAATTTAAGAGAAAAATTACCATATTGTTATCTTACATTTTCTTTATTATTATTATTATTATTATTATTATTGCATGAAAATCTCTTTCTACTAAAATTCTTAACTTAGCCCCTTCTAATTCTAATTCGTATTGCAACTATACTCGAAACATTTTTAAAGTATGTGTACAATCCGAATAGATCTTTTATTTTCTCTTTTTTTTTTTATACGTGCACTATTATAAGAAGTAGAGTTCAAATCCCCTCACTTCAGAATAAAAACAAAATTAAATAAAATAAAAGTAGATCCAAATTTATGTGGGATTCATAAAAATTACAATAGGACGCAAATTAATTCTAAAAACAATTATGTTTTGGGATATGTGCAAAAAGGTCGTCTTAAAGCACTTTTTTAGTGAATGATTCAAGCAAATTTGTAGCTTATGGGTGATTAATTTGATAATTTATCTTAATTAACTAATTTTAATCAATAATTTGTGGATAGATGATAACCTGGTTTATTAGTGATAAATTATGATAGCACATCATCGATTTCTGCTTAAAAAAAAAAAAAAACAGTTATTTACCTTAGAAAAGTTTGACCATTAATTAAAAATGGTTAAAGCAAAACTGGTCATCCACCTATTTTTTTCTTGCAAACATTAAAACCTGTTTTAAATAAATAACATGTTTTACAATATTTTAAGTAAATAACATATTTATTGGTAATTAGTATATTTAAATAAATTTACTGATAATTAGTTATTTAGTTGTAGTAAATAAATTATTATTTTAATAAAAATAAATAAATTATTTATTATTTATTATTTACTTCAAATATTTTAAAACCCACTATTTATTTCAAAAACATTTCAAAAAAAATAAAACTATTTGTCTCTTTCTTGCTTCCGTCACTGTCATTGGTTTCACAAACTTCATTTCAATTATTCTCACAAAAAGAAAAAGGAACAAAAATACGATATTTATCAAATTCACAAAAAAAGAAAAAAATTTGAGAAAAAAGTTCCAACGCCTAAAAAAATAAGGGTAACTCTTACATAGAAACTGTTACATTATTCTACTGGTTGGAATTACTGTTTAATTATTAGATTAGTTTTTAGTAGTTTAATTCACATGTTCAAATTTTTTAATTTTATAATATACAACTGCTCTTATTATAAATCAAATCGTTTAAATTTACAATCTAATCTAACGTGCTATTAGTAAGTGACAATTCGTATTTATAGATCATATTTGTATCAACTCATTTATTAATCGTGTTAAAAAATATTAATTTAAACACGACTTATTTATTAAACGTATTAAAAATGACAATCTAAATATGATCTATTTATTAATCGTGTTAATAGTGTCAACCCGTATAATCCGTTTAAATTAAAATATAAAATAAATAACTAATATAATAATGACTTATTTAATACAGTTAAAATAAATTTAACATGTTTATTAATCAAATTTTCTTTTTTTTAAGAAAAATAAATAAATTTTACCTATAAATATTAAAATTCACATTATTTATATTTAATATGTCATCATATTATATTACATATAATTAGATTACAGATAACACATATAATTAATTGTATTAATTCATGTCACTTTGTGTTAAGAGATAAATCTTAATCTAACATATTTATTAATTGTGTCAATTTAATTATGACTCAAACTTATTTATAATAAATCTAAATCTACTAACTCTATACGAATTTTAAATCATGTTATCGTATCAACACCCCCATTGCAAGTCCTAGTTACTATCATAAAAGTTCGGACACCTAAAAAGTAAGAGAGAAACAGAAATTCAACTATACTTAGAGAGAAACAGAAATTCAACTATACTTGGATTCATGTGTGCAACAAATTGTTAAAAATATAGCGAAAGGAGGAAAAAAAAAAGAATTCTATTTTTTTCTGCTTAAGATAGTCAGGGAGAACAAATAGAAAGTAAGGGGAGAAAAGAGAGTGACAAAGTTGACGTCCGTTTTTTCGTTAATTTGAGTTTAGAATTTGAGTTTTGTTACAATAAAAAAATTTTAAAAACAGTCATATTTAATTTTTTTATTATAATAAAAAATTCTCACATAACATCACATCTCAACTCAAATTAAAAACTTAAATTAGTGAAGGCGCCTCAATTTATCCGAGTAATCAAAGCCATAAAGCTCCAGCTTGTTTCAAAAGAGGAACCAACTCGCCAGAGATATGAGCCGCCATAACCCGATCCAATCCTCCGAACAGCCTACCGCCGATGAATACCGCCGGAAACTGCACGGTCGGGCGGCTCCCCGGCGAAGCCTTCCCTTCACGATCGCCGGCGTAGATGGCCGCCTCCAATTCCCCGGCGACGGCGATCTCGTCGGCCTCGTCGAGCTCGCAGACCGCCGGATTCGCTCCGTGCCCTAGCAGCAGGTGCTTCACCACGTGGCCCATGCAGCACCCTCGCCTCGCGAACACCGTCACCGCGTTCTCCGTCACCAAGCTGGTGACTCTATCATTCCCCCCAGCTCCGGCCTGCAATCTGACGTCGGCGCCGTTGAGGGCTAGCGACGTCGGCGCCGCGTGGAGCGGAAGCCACGATTTGTACGGAATAGCTTGTTGCATTATGAAGAGAGAGAGAGAGTTAAATCTAGGGAGAGAAAGTAGAGAGAGAGGTTGCTGTGGGGTGTATAAGTGGAGAGGAGAATTATATAAATGGGGGATCGAAGACTTGGAAAGAGTCCGGTCAACGGCAGTTATTTTTTATTTTTTATTTTTTGGGTTACGCGGCTCTGTTTCAGTGAAAGTGAAGCTAATGGCGTCGGTGTTGGGGTTTATATACGTATGTTTATTTTATTAATTTAAATTTAAAATTTAAATTTTATTATATTAAAAAATTTTAAAAATAATTAATTTTAAATTTTTTTTATAATAAAAAAAATTTATATAAAATTATATCTCATCATAAATTAAAAATATAAATTAATAAACTAAACAGACCGGTAAATACGACATGGTTCTGCTGACTTTTTCTAAATTGTTTTCTGTGGGTGATATCTACCATGTATACATGAGATCATCACGGAAAATGACGTCCTACATGATAATATGATTACCAATACGATTATTTTTATAAATGTTCGTGAAGTACGTACGTTGTTTTAAAATGTTCTTTTATTTTTAAAAAAAATTTAAAACACCTCTTAATATATAAAAAATTATTCAAAATATTATCTCCATCTATTTCTATCTATAACTTTAATTAATTGCTGTGTGGCATGCCATTACAGGTTAATAAAAGATATTTAAAATGTAAACTTTAATTATTGATGAAAAACCAATTACTTGATATAAAATGATACAAAAATCAAATAACATTCAAAGACTAAGGAAAAAACACCGTCTCGACGTCGCCCAGCTTCGATCGCCGCCATTCATTCTTCGGCGCCCACCTAGCCCCGATTTGCCCCCCATGGTGCCAACCCAAGCCGATCTGGTCTCCAACTCGCGGACCTCGCTGAACCCAACCTTCCTTCACCCCACTTTGCCGTCAGCTTCAGCCTGTCCCCAATCACCGCCTCCCGAGGTTGCCGGACCTCCTCTGCCCCAGATCGTCGCCAATCCAGCCCTGATCTGCTCCCCACGGCGTCGACCCAAGCCGATCTAGTCTCCAACTCGTGGACCTCGTTGAACCCACCCTCCCTTCGCCCCACTGCGCCATCAGTTTCAGCCCGTCCCCAATCATCGCCTCCCAAAGTTGCCAAACCTCGTCTGCCCCAGATCGAAGCCGATCTACAGTTCTAGTCATCAAAGCCAACCTCATGAACCAAGAACGTAGTCATTTTATTTTATTAATATTTATTATTATTGGTTTTTATTAGTTAAATATCTTTAAATTAAATACTCATTTGAACTGCTACATATGCATTTTCCATCTAAATGATACACAAAAATGAATGGAGGAGGCGTTTTAAATGATTTTTTTATATATCAAGAAACATTTTAACATGTTTTGAAAAATTATAGAACACTTTAAAATAGATTACATATTTCGTGCACATGAAAATAATCCTTACTGTTGACGGTACTTTTTCGTCAACTCGTGACTACCTCTCCAGAAACGATGCGCGTTTGCACTCACGATCTATTTAAGGATTAATGTACCAAAATAACAAACGGGAGACAATAGTTTTATAGTAGTTCGGCAATAACTCTTTGTCTAATCCACTTGTGCATGCACTAATATTTTAGTCGGTTACAAACTCTCTCCCCTCTGATAATGAAATGGTGTCTAACCCCTTTCTGGGTCTTTTTTACTCTACTTATAAGCAATTACAAATGACTAAGCCTTCTCCGTTCCCAAAGAGGAAGCCATCTCTCATCCTCGATATGCATGAGGGTAGGTAAGTTTTAATGATGAAAATCTCAAGAAATGCGGCTGACCCCTCTCATCTGCCGCACGATCCACTGACTCTTGCAGTAACCGTTGGATTGATGCTTCTTTCCCCGAGTTGACAAGACCGCTGATGGGCTTAGCTTGGTGGTATTCCTCGACGCCGTGGCTATCGAAGATCGAGCATCTATCCTCGGTGCCTTTCTCCATGTGCGATCTCTCAGCGTAGAGGGCATCTTAGCTACTACCACTCCTCTGACAACAGCGGCCGAGTCGGGACGGGACTTCCTCGGCGCCTAGTGTCGAGAGCGCGGTCGATCCCTCAACCATGGTGTAACACTTACCAATATAATGTGAGTGTGTTTCGTGTGCGTGATTTCGGTCCAATTAGAGGCCCGGAGCCTCACTGTAAATGGAGATATGTATTCACCAGATCTAGCTGTCTGGTGGGGTCCGTGGGACAAGATAAATTTTTTTTAAAAAAAAGAAAGAAAGAAAAAAAAACCATCTTGTTCATGCAACCACCAATGATATAGTAATATTTTCTTAATTATATAATAGAACTACACATGTATTACACATATAATTTCATTGCGACACAAAAATATTAATTTCTTCCCAGCCTGTTCTTTATTATTCAATCTCAAAAAATATTAGTAATTATTTTTCCCAACAACTGATTATGTAATTTATATATACACATGGATTTATTTTTTTAAAGAGAGAGAGATATATATATATACGGATTTCTAATATTTAAATTTTCGCCCATTGCTCAAGGAAAAAAAAAATTTTAAAACACGAAGCGTTTTTTGGAACCTTACATTATTCTTTTTTCCTGCATGCACTTTTATTTCCAAATTAAACATAACTTCCTTTGTGTGTCTGTCTTTTTTATTTTTTATTTTTATTTTTTGGCCACAGCTAACAATAGAGTACTAATACCAAGAAGGTATACCGTGTGTTCTGGACGTTTAATTCATGTATTTAAAATTATTTTTATTTTATGCGTAATTTTTATAAAAAAATTACTATAAAAAATTATAAATAATAATTTAAAATAAATACAAAAAATAAACATCGTCACGTAAATCCACGTCAGTAAAACAGTAATCTTTTATTTTTTTATTTTTTTATTCAGACGACAATCATGACGCGAGTGATGTCAAAGCATGGCCCGCCACGTGTTAGAAAGCTCAGCAGCCACCCCGATGAGACGTCATCAGCCTCCGACCGTATATTATTCCAAATCCAGATCCACCTGTCACAATCAGCCATGTGGTCTAACTACGTCAGGTTCCCGCGTTCTGATGTCACATGATTATCGTAGTTTTAGTTCCCAGCCACGTCATTTTTGACGCGTGCGTGTTTCGAATGAGGTGGTGGCTTGATCGGCTGCTTAGTTCTACCAACCTTTGTCATGGACCTATGGGTAATCCAACGGCTCTGATGATTTCTTACACGGACTTTTTCAAAAAGACTATCCAAGAATCCAACAAATTATTTTGATAGGAGATATTCTGATACACACGTATTAAAAAATCAAATTTTTTAATGGTTGAATTTATTTCTTTTAAAATTTTTATGTGATTTTATGTAAATTTTATATAAAAAAAATTTACTTATTTATACGTTGAAGTATTAATATTTTGGAAAACCTGACCTATTTTGATATGTATCTTTTTTTTTTTTTTTTAAAACTTTACGTAAGTATCTTTTTGTTACGTCTAAAGTCCTCACTTTTGTTTTTGAGTATATATTAATATGATTCTGATACGTACACCTGACGACGTATTAATAAATCAAATCTTTTAATGGTTGAATTTATTTATTTTAAAATTTTTATGTGATTTTATGTAAATTTTATATACAAAAAACTTCTTATTTATACGTTGAAGTATTAATATTTTGGAAAACCTGACCTATTTTGATATGCATCTTTCTTTTCTTTTTTTTTTTTTTAACTTTACGTAAGTATCTTTTTGTTACGTCTAAAGTCCTCACTTTTGTTTTTGAGTATATGAATCTACACATTATTTTTGCTCATTTAAATACACGAACTAATGTTACGATATAATTATCAAAAAAGTTGTAGATACATATTGTATACACACTACTGAATGCTATACAAACTTATAAATGCAACAGCACTAGTATTAATATATATCTAATTATCTATATAACATTAGTAAATACAATATATTCAGAGCAAAAAGAAATATAATAAATCCAATAGTCTTGAGAGGTGTCACTATATTACGTAAGTTATTCTTAATTTTGACATTTGAAATTTAAATTTTTTGTGAGGAAAATATTGTAGTGGAATTAAAATTATGAGTTTAAACACATGAAACAATCGGGTTAATTATTTTTATTAATTCGAAACACTGGCCTTAAAATTAATATGAAATCAAAGAAGATTTAAGGTGTTTAGTCTTTATTTGCAAAGGGAGATGCACATAAGTACTCTTGACCAAAATTTCCACAAAACCTAGAGACATTAGAAATTTTACCTCTTTTTGCAAAGGGAAATGTACATAAGTACATTAATTGGTCCACCATGACTTGAGTGTGACTAAATTTACCTCTTTTTACCACTAAAAGCTAGTACCAATTGTAAACGATAGTAGTTGCATTCACCAAGTAACAAAAACTCTTAAAAGTTTGGTGGTAAAAGATCATTTGACACCAAATTTTTTAACCGTTAACCAAATTTAACTTTGAGCGGTTAAGATTTGGTTGCAAAATAATCAATTTTGTTGCCACCATAAACTCAGTGACAAGAAATGTGTTTATATTCAAGATATATCAACCACATAGCGATATGGAGTTTAGTAGCAGAAGAAACTTCTTGCGACCCAAAAAGAAAAGGGGGGGAAAAAAAGCATGTTGCCACTTATTTGTTGATTACATGAGCCTTTTTTTTTTTTCTTGCCGTTTAAGGATTTTTCGTACCACAGTTACACTAGGATCGACTAACATTAAAGATTAATTTGATGAAATATTTTCAAAAGTAATAATTCACTTCGAACATCATTTATGTGCCAAAAATATTTGTCCTAAATAAGATATATTGACTTGTGTGACATGAACGGTCAGTCTATAGAAAATTATGTTTACTCAATGGAGGCAGAGGCTCTCTACACGTGCCTTCATTGAGATTTCGAATTTTAACCTCATGTAAATAATTTTAAAAAAAAAATCACAAAATTGTGCCATCACTTAATGAAAATTATAATTTTGCCACCGTTCAATAGAGAATTTTATGTTTCATACTCGGTTATTTGTGTTTTATATCATGCCCTA